CTTCCTTACTCTGCCAGAGGTTCCTCCTCAGCGAACAAACTGGGCTTGGGACTGGTGCCAGGGGACCTGGGGCCTCTAGGGGACAAAGCAGTGTTAGGGGAGTGTGTGTGGGGGGTGGGGTCATGGGGGAGAGGGAGGCCTGGGCCCTGACTCCACTCCCACCCCCAATGGGAAGGACAGCTGGGCCAAGAAGGGTAGGGAGGTCTAGGGTCAGCCTTACCCATGGGACCCAAGTCAGCAGCCTCAGCTAGTGCCCCAGGGGGGCCCGCTTTGTCCAGCAGGAGGTCACAAAATTGGCTCAGGGACTCTTTTAGGTCACCCAGCTGCTGGTCTTCATCCCACTGTGGAAGAGTCAGTGGCCCGAGAGGCCCTGGGGGCACGAGGAGCTGTGATTCCTGAGTCCCGAGGACAGCTGTAGTAAGCCCGGGCACAAGGGGCAGGCACGCTGGCCCCCCGACCTGCTGCCCTGAGGCCTGGTACCTGCAGGAAGGTTCGGTCATCCAGCTGTTCCAGCAGGTCCCCGATCCTGCGGCCAGAGTGAGCCATGGCCTCCAGGTGGCCCCGCAGTCGCTGCTCCTCTTCCCAGGCCTGTGCCAGCGCCCGTGTCTTGGCCACATTGATGTCCCTCAATGCCAAGTCCCGACGCGTCTCCAGGGCCTTCAGCAGGCAGCTGAACTTGCCAGAGACCACGGAGGCCAAGGTGCCGGCTGAGCTCTGGGTGGGCACAGGTGGAGCCTTGGCTTGCCAGGGTCCAGCCCCCACCAAGGTAGGCCAGGGCCACCCACAGCTGCCCACTGGGCTGAGGGGTGGGAATATGGGGAGCCAGGATCCCTGGAACTTCCTCCCCCTGCTCTGCACCTCACTCTCTGCTGCCAGGAAGCATTTTCAAGGTAGCTCACACCTACTGTCCAGTGTCCCAGGGACCACTGGTGGCTGCCCAGACACAACATGAAGACGTGGTGGGGACAGACAGGCCTGTACCTGAATCTGGTTGCTTCGCTGCTGCAGCTCCTGTAGCTGGCTCTTAGCCTGGGTGGCCTGCTGCTGGGTGACCTCCAGCATGGCTCTCAGCTGGACCTGTGGTGCCCACGAGGAGACAGGGGATGACTGACCAGAGGGGACTAGGATAGGCGGTGAAGTCCCCGCTCAGTCAATCAACAAACACCTGCAAATGCCAGGCATCCCCTCCTCGTGCCGCCCCAGGCGAGGTTGACCAGTGGGCCAGCACCCAGGGCACTGGCCTTGGTCTGAGTCCCTGGAGAATTGGGTCAGTGTCCCAGGGAGGTGTAAACAAAGCCCTTCCCCACCTGGAGCAGGGTAGTGCACGGGTGGTGCAGAAGCCTGGCTAAAGACCTGACTTCCAGTCCCTCTTGTAGTGTGAGCAACCTGGGGCAGCTCACCCACCCTCAGGGCTGTAACCACCCCTCGCCTCCCACAACAGCTAGTCAGTAAATAGGAGCAGTACTTCTAGCTTAGGTAGCCTTCTGGGGAAGGGGTGATGGCCCAAAGCACCGAAGCTGTTTGCTTGCCTAAGATGGGCTCTTCCAGATGTCTGGCCAGTTCTGGGCCCCAGCTTTGGGCCCCAGGGGAAGAGGGCACCATGGTTTGGTTGTGCCCCCTCTGGTCCCCTTGAGCATCAAAACACTGTAGTCCCCTGGGAGCGAGACAAACCCGTTCCTGGCCCTGCCCTCCGGCTAGGACTCGGTTTCCTGTGCCTGATCAAGAGCCTGTCATGCTTCTTCTCCACCCAGCAACACTTTGAGGTAAGGACCATTGTTGTCTCCACTTTACAGATGAGGAAATGGGTGAGAGATGTTTATAGTTTGGCCAAAGTCATCAGATCTTCCTAAGTCCAATGCTCCGCCTTTGTCCAGGCCCCGCCTAGGAAGTGGGAGGGCAGACTTTCCTTGTTCACCTTGGTTCTCCCTGGGGACACCCATCTGTCCCCTCACACCCCACATCACTTCCCCTCCGTCTAGCAAAATCTCAGCTCCTTTGGTGCACGTGCCAGGTGGTGTACCACCTATTCCCGCTCCCTCCTTACTGCTTCTAGGTCTTAATGCCACCGGCCTAGCATCCCGCCTCCTTCTGTGACTTCCATAGCCACAGGGATTATCCTCCAACACTCGGGCTCTGGGCTCCTTGACCTCCTCTCTTGCAGAGCCCTTTGCTTCACTCCATCTCAGCCACTCACTCCCGTGACCTCACCCTGAGCCTGTCCCCAGTTCCGAAATCTCTATTCCAAGTATCTGTTTTCTGACCACCACCATGTTTTATCTTAGAATAAAACATCCCAAAGCCGACTCCTGCCAAAGCTGCCCGCGCACTGGGAAAGCAGGGCGGGGCATCCTGGTGTGTCACCTCGCGCTTGCGGCGCTCAGCGTCCAGCAGCGCCCGCTCGTGGAGGCGACACTCGCGCACCGTGCAGGCGCTGCACACGCACCGGCCCTCGGTGACGCAGAAGAGCTCAAGCGGCCGCCCGTGCCGGGGGCAGCGCGCACCAGGGTCCGAGGCAGGTTCCCGGTCCCGGCCAGGTTCGGGGACCGAGGAGGGCCGCGTGCGGACCACCTCGAGCACACCACTGAGCGCCACATTGCGGCGCAGCTCGGCGCCCTCGGGGAAGGGCTCCCGGCACTCAGGGCACGCCTTCTCCTGGCGGCCCCACCAATCCCGGATGCAGTCCCCGCAGAAATTGTGGCCGCAGGGCAGCGTCACCGGGTCCTGGTAGAGCCCCAGGCAGATGGAACAGGTCAGCTTCTCCTCCAGGAGCTGAGTGGCCATGGCGGCGGCAGTTGAAGAGGGCAGGCGCGCCAAGGGAGGGCCGGTCTCTTAAAGGGCCCGCGAGTGCGGCGGGGAGGAGCGAGGACTTCCCCAGGGAGATTAGCGTGACAGCCCTTCTCGAGGACCCGGACCTGCAGCCACTCCCAGCGCCCACGGGCCGCAGCGCATCCCATCCACCCCTGCGTCTCCGCCCACGGCTTCCCCGCCTCTATCTAGGCTCCGAGCCACCTCTGCCTGCCTCCTGCCACCCCAGGCTGGCAGTTGGGGCCTGGCTCTCTGGTCCCACCCTGGGACCTCCATTCCGCTTCCCTAGACCCTCAGTCCAGCAGCTCCTGGGCAGGGGATCCTGCCCCAGCCTCTAGAGACAAGAACCACCGCGCCTGGGGCCTCGTGGCTGAGGGCCATCAGGCACCTCTTCTGGGCCCATCTGAAAATCTAACAGCATCCACCTCCCAGGGCTTTGGGCGATTAAATGAGATAGTGCATGTGGCAGCACCTGGCGTAAGAGCAGGGGGCACACAGCTAGTGCTCATTAAGTGCTCTCTCCTGACTGGAGGTGCTCTGCCACGCTTTTTCCTTGGGCTGAGTTTCAGGCATTTGCCAAACCAGGGTGTCTCCCTTCTCTAGGCTTCTCGTAAACAGAGATGGAACATTCTGGTCACCAAGAGACCGAGACCAGTCCACAGCGTCTTTTCATACCCTTTAATAGAAACCCAAAGCGCTCTTTAGCTACACTTGCAATCAACCCCCTGGGTGTGGCCCTCTGCTGGAGAGTTGCTTGTTAGCAGGTCTCGGGTGTTCCGGAAATGCGCACAAATCTCCTTGTGACTGGCTCCTAGGCAGTCTTTTCCTTTAGAGGGGAAAAATACCCTAACCATCCAGTGAAGGTGCAGCGGGCATTCTGGGCCCCAAGCAGGAATGGGCTCAGTTTCTGAGACCAGTGGTTGCCTGCCTGACAGGACTTATTCACACATCTGCCCGCCCAGGCCAGGAGCCAGCAGCACGCTGCGAACAAGGTACCGGCGAATGCTCGGGGCTGGCAGCTATCTTTTCAGGGGCCTGTGGGAGCAGCCAAGACCCACAGCCTGCTTTTCTTCAGTACCTGTCTTCAACCGCTGGATCACAGGGCCCTCACACCCTCAGGAGGCAGAGGTGTGGAGTCATCTCCTGGGGTGGGAGGCAGCCCTCTTCCCACGCATGAAGCAATACAACTCCATGGGTGGGGGGGTTGTCTGGAGGATCTTGGAACAGACCCAGGCCAGCTACAGCAAAAATCATCTTTATTCACACACCCACCCCTGCCACTGCCCCTGGAGAGAGCCTCTTCACTCCCAGGCCCTGAAACTGCTGGGAGGGCTGCGGAGGGGCTGCCTTAGGCAGGGCCTAGAACCCCACAGCTTGGGCCCCTGGAGCTGTGTATTCATTGTTCCTGTTGGCGGAGCCTGACTCTCAGAGGTGGGTGGCACTCCGGCCACTCAGTAGATTCCATAGGTGGGTTCGTGACTGTCCCTGTACCGGTCCAGGTAGCGCAGGGGCTGCCGGTGGGGGAAGCGCTTTTGCTTGGGGTGGTAAGGGGGCGGCCGCACAAATTCAAACACAGGCTCCCGCATGTCTGCAAGAAGAGTGAGGGGTTGTGGGTGTGGACTGTTGCTGGCCTGAGCCCCTCTCCCTTGTCTCTAGGCTGGGACTACCCAGCCAACCCACCCGAGGAACGGCCAACTCTCCGTGGCCAGGGAGAACTGCATGTCAGGTTACGAGAGGTCTGTGAGCTCAGGCCAACTGCCCCCCTCCTCCAGCCCACTCTGCCCTTACCCAAAAGCTGGTGGAAGACGTGGGTGACCGAGTCATCCCAGCGGCACTGGAAGAAGGCCAGGCCAGCTGGAGTCATGGCTTCCTGGTGTTTCTTGTAGAAATCAAAAGTGCGGAAGGTCCGCTGGGCAAGCTGGTAGCTGTAAGATGGGGAGCATTTGAGAGTGGGGCCCCACCAGAGCCCACACCCCACCTCTGGGCCCACAGGCAATCCTGACGAGTCCCTTAGGGTCTGCCTAGCACAACGACCATTGTGCCCATCTCAAGGTCTGAGTTAAGAGAGAGAACTGAGTAAGGCCGATCATTCCTGGGAAGCTGGCCTGAGGCCGGGGGTGGTGGTGGTGATGTATGGGGGGTATAGATTACCAGGGTGAGGGCCGGGTGTCCCCAGAGAAGTCGATTGGCTTGTCCTGCTTGAAGAGCAGGAAGACAAAGCGGTGGAAGCCAGAGCCCCGGGCAGGGAAGGGGGGCAGGTAGGGACATGTCTCCTGTCCTTCAGCCACCCTGTTGCCAGGGATGTTGGTTCTGATGGGAGGAAAAGTAATCTGTTAATTGCCACTCGAGGGAGGTGGCAACACATGCATCCCCACCCTCATACTCCCGAGAGGCTGATACAACTCCTGGGGGGACAGACCCTAAAAGGATCTCTGTCAATCAAGTAGGAGGTAGAGCTCTGTGAACCTTTGGGGCTCACAGGCTGAGAACAAGGGTCCCAGAGACTGAGCAGCCTGTTCGCTAGGCCCTGGGGAGCTGGTGAGGCTGCCACGGCCATTCAGGCTGGAGACCACCCCACTTTGGAGCTGTTTCTCTCTCTCTGTTTCCTGAAGCGTTGTGGTTTGTCAAGAGTGTCGGCCCAGCCTGGGACCAGGATGGCCACTGTATCTGCCTCGAGAGGCAGCCCCAGAGGGTCCCACCACACAGGTTGGTAACTGCACTTGATTAAAAATGACAGAAACCAGCCTCCCACTCACTGGCCCCAATTACCCAGAAGTCCCAAAGCCGGGGTCACCAATCTGACTTCTACACCCTGGCTTGGCGCTCGAAGCCAAAGGCCACGGAGAAAACAAAAGGCAGCCCAGCCTGGGCATGTCACAGCTGCCAGAGACCTCTCACGATCACTTTCCCACTTGACTGTCACAGAGCCCCTCAGCGTGGTTAAAGAATGGGGAGACATCATCCTAGTTTTACAGGTGAGAAAATGAGTTCAGCCAAGGCCTATGGCTGGCTTTGCTTCTATACCTGTCTTCAGCCACTGGATACAGGGTCCCTGACACCCTCAGGAAGCAGAGAGGAGGGTCCACCTCCTGGGGTAGGGGGTTAATCCAAAGTCCCACTGTTAATCCATGGTGGAGTCAAGACTGAAATTCAGGTGCAGCTCTTCCCAGGATGCGAGGCCTCCGCGCATGCCCCTGCCCCACTGCCTCACCCAGGTACTCACACCAGCCAGTGGACATACTCGGCATCCGGCTCCAGCAGGTGTCCATCTGCACACAAACAGACTCACTGACAGAGGGCCCTGCTGCGCCCTCCCGTGCTCTCCCTTAGCCCCTCCCCCAACTCCCCAGGGACCTGGCTCATGGAGGTAAGGGTGCAGGAGGCCCTGTGAGCCCCCGACTCTTACCCAAGTTGGTGAGCAACAGTGTCCACATGGAGCCTTTGTCTGCCTCATAGGTTACCTCTGGGATCTGGGCAGCCTGACAAGGAGAGAACAGGGGAGCTGTCACCCCAACTAGGGACAAACTGTTACAAAAAGACCTTCCTCCTGGAGGGCAGGGGCCTGAGGGAGTGTTGGAGAAGGGAGAGCCCACTCTGATCCAAACTCCCTTGACACCTCGAGAGGCGGGTTGGCAAAGAGAAACTTACAGAAGGAACCCTGCAGAGCTGCCTATCCAGAGATCTGAACCACAAGGCCCACCTGTCAATGGACAGGGGCTAGGAGGGCACTCTGAAGATAGCGGACCAGTCACGGGAGTATGCCGGCATGGAACTTTTTCTTTCACTTTGTTTTTCTTTTTTTGTAATTATCATGGTGGTGTTTACCAGGAAATGAAAGAGGAACACGGAATAACAAAACTCCAAATCAGGCCACGCAGATGCCATGCTTGTGCCCTTAACCATCATAAAAACTGCCTCTAGAAATGCTTTCCAAAAGGAGCTGTCTGTGGCCCTGCGGTGGGATGTGCCTGTGTGCATGGCAGGGAGGGGCACAGCCAGCAGTTACCTCGGTTGGAGTGACCTCATTGCCGTGGTACACAGGCATCAAGTCATCCTCACCCACGGCATAGGCCACGTGCAGGGGAACGCGGGGCACGAAGGTGGCATTGTGGAACAGGTCTCGGTAGAGGCCGTAGTACTCCGCCAGTCGCTGCTTGTGGTAGGGGCCACAGGTCCTCTCCCACTCAGCCCGCACGGCCTCCAGTGGGATGCACGCTGGGAAGGAATAATGCCAGCTGGGATGCAAAGCAAGGGCAGGGACACCCGGGCCCTCTCCCCTGGGAGGGCTTACCTGTGCGGAGGCGGGCCGCCCGTTCCTCCGCCACATTGCCCCGCAGCTCCTGGAGGACCCGTTTCCGCTCCAGCAGCTGTTGGGTCCGACAGACTTTAGGTGGAGGCAGCCCAATGTCAATCCTGGGATCTGGGGAGGGAAGATGTGTTGCAGGAAGTGGGATCAAGTCTTGGAAAAGCCACCTGTCCCTACCTAGTACTCTCACTTGCCTACACTCTGCTGCTAAGGCTTTCCTCTCATTTACAAAGCTAAAGCACACTGTGCAGTCTGCTTCACAGGCCTGAACAGGGTCCAGTTGCTAAGCAAATAGGATAAGCTTGAGATTGCATTTTCTGATCCCTAAACCAAGTTAGTCTGCCTAGGTCATGGGACACAGAGGCACACCGTCTCCCAATTATAGTTGGAATCACCTTTAAGTCTGTTCACAGCTGGCCATGGACACACACCTGTGTCCTCAGTAGAATGAACAAATCATGCAAGTTCCCTGGGGAATTTGTTAAAATTCGGATTCTGATTCAGCAGGTCAGAGTGGGGCCTGAAATTGCATTTCTAACAGGCTCCTAGGTAATGAATGCCCCTGCTGCTGGTCCCAGAACACACTTGAGTAGCAAGGCCCTCAAAAACTTTCAATCCAGCACCTTTTTCCATTTACATTAGACAATAACAGTAAGTAACACATACTGAACCCTCATCAAGGATGGCATTAGTCTAAGAATTCCAATGGGTTGTATCCTTTAATCCTTACAACAATTTTGTGACACAGACACAATTATTTGGTTTTACAGTTGAAAAAACTGAAGCTCAGGGAAGTCACTCCTAAGAGGTCCTGTTGACTTGGGTTTAAATCAGGCTATAGATTCCATGCCTGTGGCCTTAACCACCATAAACACTGCCTCGCCTCTGTAGATGCTTTCCAAAAAGATGCACTTGTAAGTTGCTCAAGGGCAGGGTCCCGAAGTCACCCTGCCCAGGGCTTTCAGTTTCATTCAGAAAAGTATTGCACACCTTTGTGCCAGACACTATGCAGGTACAAGGATCCAATGATGGTCAAGACAGGCAGGTTTCTTGTCCTGGGAGGGAAGCCGCTAAAAGAAAGTCCGGGCACAGTGTGACCGGGGCTACATACAAAGTATTTTAGGAGCACAGAGGGCCGTTCTGACTCGGAATGACGGGGGCGCGGCGGTCAAGAAAGGATTTTAGGAGAAATATCTAAGGTGGAACTTTACGGGGAAGGGAATTTTCCAAGTAGGGGGACCAACAGGTGTGAAAAATCCTGGTGGGACTAAACCGCCAACAGAGCGCACAGGGAAGGAGGCTGGCCCTCCCCCAATGTTCGGAGAGGGCGCCGGTGGGTGCTCCAGCTCCGGTCGCCCCGCACCTGACTTCTCCCCGAAATGCTCCTGGTAGGTCCGCCACCAGTGAGGGGCCCGCGCCTCCTGCTCGGCCCGGCGCCGGTAGCGGTCGAAGCTGCGGTACTTCTCCAGCCGTTCCAGGTTGCTCACATCGATGTCCTCATTGGGCATCGGCCCCAGAGGGGCGGTACGGCGGCTCAGCGCGGCTGTGGGCAGAGAGCGGGACGTCAGGCCAGCTAGTGCCGGACGCCACGGAGGCCGGGGAGAGCGCTGGCTCGAATCCCAGGATTCGGGCTAAATGGGGACCTCCGAGAACCCCCCCCACCCCCAGAACCCTCACCCGAGGTGCTGAAGCCCTGCCACCTCCGACTTCCGCACAGAGCAGCTCGCCACCAGGGCGCCGCCATCTTCCCTCAGGTCGGCGACGCCGCCGCCCTTAGGACCCGGCAGAGGCGGCCAGAGCAGCGCCTGAGCGCACCACAGAGGCCCCGCCCCGCCCACCAGGCTCCGCCCCTGGCCCCGCGACCTAGGAGCCACGCCCTCGCCCAGGCCCCAGCCTCCTTTCTGGGACCCTCCAAGCTGCTTCTTCCCGAACCGAGGAGGCTGTGGGCCCTGAGCTCCGGGCCCCACGGTTCCGAAAGTGCCCGGTGGACGGCGGGAAGGAGCTGCGGGCGGTTGGGTTCTTGCCCGCAGCCAGCCACCAGGGGGTGGTAGAGACCGGGAGCGGTAGGCGGGGCCAGGCAGCCCCTCGGGCTCGAGTTGGTGAGGGCTTTGCGGGGCTCCGGGTGCTGCTCTGGACTCAATCCCAGAAGGCTGCCGCGCAGTGGTGCTGCTGCTCGGGCGGGGGAAGGGGTACGAACACGGATTCTGGAGTCAAGGCTGCATGGGTTCACATTGGAAATGGTGACCTTCCTGAGCCCTTTCGTTTGGGGGAAAAAAAAAAAGGTAATAATAGTGTTTATCTCATAGGCTTGTTAGGATTAAGTGAATTATGGCGTTGGCGGAAAAGTCATGACGCATTTTTGCAATGAAAAACAGAAAAAATATGTCAACTTTTCTGACAACCCAATAATACATAGAGGGTGCCAAAAAATGTATACATATTTTTAAGAAATGAAAAACTATTAAAATTGTAATATCCAATGTATACTGCTAACAAATGAATACAAGTCATGTATATACATTTTTTTGGTGCCCTGGTATATAAAGCACTTACGGTGGTATATGTGTTAGCTTTTTTTGTTTGTTTTCTTTAGCTGAGCCATCCCTGTTGGCAGCTCAGAGACAGCTCAGCTCGGGCCGGGATTCAAACAGTTGTTGCTCAGAGCTTGCACTCTTGAGCAAGCTCTTAACCAACTGAGCCACTTGACCAGCCCTTTGTGTTAACATTTGATTGCTCCAATTTACTAGTGTCCACACAGCGGCATAAAAGACCTGGTTAAGACCGTGTCTCTGCCTAAACCCTTCCAGAGCTGTGTTACTCTTGGGATCCAGTGCTAACAAAGTAAAACTTGGCACCCCAGGTGATCTAGCTCTTCTGCCCTGGAACTCCAGCTCCTGTGACACCAAACCTTCTTCACTTAAGGCCAGTAAGGCACAGTCCTGCCCTTAAGGAATCATTGCTTATTAATTTGTGAAATCCTGCTAAATGTACACCAGAACTGAAGGCTGAGGGCAGACCAGTCTTCCGGCCCAAAGGAGCACAGGGGTTCGTGTCTTCTTAATGTTCTGCGTGTGTTTACATCTGGCCTCCTTTGCTATTTTATCTTTTTGGTTTTTGAATCCTCTTCTATATGCCCCTAACCCCTGCCCACCTCTCTGCAAATGAGAAAGCACAGGGCCTCCAAGGGCAGAGGAATTTAACAGATACACAACACTCATCCCTGTGTGCAGCACTCTACCATCTGTGTTCCAGGAGAAAGTTGATGTGAGAGGATAAGCTACCTGCCACTCCTTAATGCCATTGTCCACGGAGCATGAATTAATCAGGGGGCTTTTGGCTAGAAATGAGTGATAAGGGTTTATTCAAGGGTCTTAGGGTTTGCACACCAGAAAAAATGACAAGGCAATATCCAGTGTTCCAAAGAAAAGAGTTCTTATATTAAAGAGTACATTCTTGAGGAGAATCAGTCCTGCCTTCTTAGCTTCTGGATTGGTCCAAGATGATGATCTTCCAGATGTCTGGCAGTCTGGATCCATGAACATTGTTTCCTAAGTCCTTCGAGGGTAATTAGAGGGGTATCTATTGTGTGTGTCTCTAGGCATAACTGGAGAGTTCAAAAATCTAAGTTCCCTGGCTAATTAAAGCAAGAGTAGAATCATTTCCTCATGCCGCAGCTTACTTAATTTCAGTAATTGAGCAGCTTGACTATATATAATGACTCCATCTTATTTCCTCACTCCTCACCAGACACAGCAGTTAGTTATAGGCACTGAGTCAAGTGTCATTGTAACCGAAGGCCTTTTCACGGGCACTGGTGTCATCTGAGTGACACCACCCAGTTGCCCAAGCCAGAAACTTGGAGGTCCTCTCTGACATGTCTTCTTCCCCTTCTTCCATCCTGACCCTCCCTGTCAGGCACCAGGTCCTGTGGGGGTCACTTTTCTGTGATCTCACTGCCATTCCTGGTACAGTGCTGTCCTTAGTGCCCCCTGCACCCCTGCCAAGCAGCCTCTTAACAGCTTCCTTGTCCCTCTTACCCCCTCCTGTCCTCGCTCAGCCACAATGGGTTTTCTAAAATGCAAATGTGGTCCCATCCTGTTTAAAACCCTAAGATGGTAGGGCCGGCCGAGTGGCTCAGTTGGTTAAGAGCTCGCTCAAGAGTTTGAGCTCTGAGCAACAGCGGTTCGAGTCAGCCCGAGCTGAGCAGCCGTGAGCTGCCAACAGGTAGCAGGATGGCTCAGCTAAAAAAAAAACAAACAAAAAAAACCTAAAACCCTAAGATGAATACCCATTGCCTTGAAGATAAGAATTCATTCTTTAGCAAGATACACAAAGGCACATCTACCTGCTACCTAATTCTAAACTCATTCCTCTGTCTTGAAGGCCAAGCTGTCCCCTGTGGGTCTCCCTGCACACCCCCGTCCCCCAGTGTGTGCCTGTGCTCACCCATGTATCTGTCAGGTGACCGTGTAAATGCCAGTTGCTCCTGGTCTGTGGCCACCATCCTTAGAGCCCTCCAGCTCTTCATATAAGTGGGAACTTAAGTGTGTGTCGAGAGAAGGACTGAATTCCGAGTTTCAACAAAGCTTCTGATGGGACACCCGGTGCTTCCCTCAGTGTGGCACCGACCCAGGTGGCAGCTTGACCTTCACAGCAGCACTGTGTAGAGCATGCTCTCCTAGAAGGCAGCAGCGGTGACGTGGCTGAGAGCCTGGGGTTTTGGCCCGAGCAGAGCTCAAACCCAGGCTCTGCTATTTGCTGTGTCACCTTGAGCAGATTATTTAATCTCCCTGAAACTCAGTCCCTTCATCTGTGAAGTAGGGGTGATAACTGTCCCCCTCTCCTGGCTGAGGTCCAGCCACCAGGCACATAGCTTGTAGGCTGGAAGGTTCCAGCCCCAGCCAATTTTACAGCAAATAACAGTGCTACAGAGCAAACATTTCTAAGAAATAAGTACACACTGATGAGCCGTGGCAAATGATGAGAATCCGGCCATTAAGAACACAGCAATTTAACAGGTCCAAGAAGGCTGTAAACTGTTGGTAAATAAGTATAACCCCTCTAAAAGCTGTTCTGAGACAGAGCTACAAACTGGGCCTGCTCAGAGCCCACAGCACTGCCCTCTGCATTCCTGCTCATGCGGACATTTCCTCCAGTGGAAGGTGAGAAACAGCTCGCTGAAAGCTGCTTTAGAATTGTGATTTTATTCGCTGAGTCCGTCTGTCATGCGTCTGCAACCCTCCCACCCCTCTCCTTCTAGCACCTCTCCAGCCAGTGTTGACCGAGCACCCACATGCGGAAAACTGCCCACCTGCCCAGCCTGGGCGTGGCCCCTCCCGGTTCCCCTGTGCTCTGTCATCTTCATCCCCACCCAGCTGTGGCTTTGTGGCAGGTGAACAGCACAGCCAGCCTCTGGAGAGCCTATGTGAAGAAGCCAGCGAGGCCAGTGTCCATGCCAAGTTAGTCGCTCAGGCAGCTGGGAACGAGGCGGGGACTTTGTGCGAGCCCACCTGAGAGCATGAAGGGCTGGCTGAGTCCCAAGACCGTGTTGGACTGTGAGGTGAAACCTGGCTGGCACGGCACCCTCCCTGCCCCTGCCCCTCCCACCCCCTCGGCCAGGAGGCTAGAAGGCTCTTCAATGTGTGTGGCCTGACTCCATGTCCCCACTAAGGAGGAGACATCATGTTGTCTCCTCCAGGCTCTCAGGCCGGGAGGGCAGCAGGCTGCTTGTGGGATCCCTCGAGAAGACCCCCTGCCTCAGAAGAGGCCCAGGCGAAAAGATCCCCAAACCATCTGATGACCAAGGAGGGGAGGGGTGCACGGAGCCCAGTTAGACCCTTGGGTCTGAGCTGGACATCTGTGGGGCAGGAGAACCAAAGCTGTGGCTGACAGTGTTTTGGGGCTGAGACACCCTCAGCATCGTGTCTCCCAGAGTCCACTGTACCTGGATCCCCAGAAGCACAGGGATGCCTGCCTGCCTCAGCCATGGGCAGGAGCCTTTGGAAGGCATGTGCTTGCACCCTGTCCACAGGAAGAGCTGTAATCAGGCCCTGGACATCGCAGAGCCTTCCCTGGGTACCCCCTTCCCAGACTCAGCAGCCAGCGGGGCAGTGGGCCAGCGTGCCAGAATCTAACGCCTCTGTTGAGGAAGCAGCGGGGCCCTCCAGGCTTATGTCATATTGTAGGAGGTTTTCTTCAGGGTCTCCAGGAAGAACTGTTCATTCTCCAAGAAGTCTCGGTCCTGAAAGGCAGGGCTGGGTGAGTAGTCATCCTCGGGTTCCCTCCTGTACCTGCTTTTGGGAACGGGGACACCGGCTCACGGGACTGAGGGCCAGGGGGATCCCTGGGTGGTAGTCGAGCCAGCCCTCACGTGGAGCCCCTCTCTGCTCACTCCCTGGCTCTGGGAAGCAGCGGGGAGCACGGACAGAGCATGCGCACTGGAGTGAGAGTAGGTCTCAGTCCTGGTGGGGCCCCTTGTTAGCATTGACTTCATCTCTAAGCCTGTTGTAAACTGGAGATAATAACATTATCTGCCTTGTAAGGCTAGGGGAGGGTCAGGGCTTATAATGCACATCAAGTTTTCCGCACAGAGCCTTACACACTGGAAATGCTCTATAAGCGATAACTGCTATCATTATTATCACAGGGTTATTGTGAGTTTCAACTAAGGAGATATATGCAAATCGCTTTGCACAGAATCTGGTCTAGCCTACAGGGCAGGAGATGCTCAATCTCCTGATTATTAAACAATCTGCCTATTATTCTCCTCCAGGAGGTGGGCTCAGCCCTCCTGGGGGCAAGGGTGTGCTCCTCTCAGCCTTTGCCCTGAGCTGCGTGTCACTCATGTGATCACGAGGATGCCTAGATCCAGGGGGAGCGGCAGGCCTTGGCTGGGGCTGCCTCTGCTCCGGGATGCTTACCTGCTCAGCCAGGTGTTTCAGCAGCACCAGCTTGGTGTGGAGGTGCGAGGGGCCCAGGCTGGCTGACGGCTGGCTGCACCGAGGATTGACAGGATTGGTGGGAGCAGGAGCCACAATGGCTGAAAAGGCCGAGGAGGAAGTCAGGGACCGAAGCGTTGGTGAGAGAACAAGACAGCCGGCCACAGCCTGTCTCCCCGGGTGGGAGCAACCGGGACCAGCCTTGTGGGCACATCCACCAGCTCTCAAAAGCCTTTGAAAATACTCATGGGACCTTATCTGGCAAGTCCAAGTCTAGGAATTTATTCAAGGGAAATAATCAGGCAATGGTGCCTAGATGTACATACAAAGATTTTTACTGAGGTGCTGTTTATCTTGGTGACAAAAAAAAAATCACTCAGTAGAAAATCATTAAAAATATGGAATAGCCTCATAATGGAAAATTATGCTGATTAGAACTTATGGTTAAACACTTAATTACTGATATGAAAACAGGCTCCATATGTATATTTCCAAATAAAAAAAGTACAAAACAACATATGATCTCAATTTTGTTTTTAAAAACACAACAGTCTAGAACGCTACGCACCAAAACGTTAAAAGTGGCTCTCTCACTAGAGAGTGGGGTTGAGAGGGACATTTTAAAACATAGTTTTCCTCCATTTTCAAATCTAGTTTTCTGTACTTAACATGCATTACTTGTGTAAAAAAGTAGTAATAAGATGACTTTAAAACCCAGCTGGCCTCCTAACCAGAGAGGAAGGACGCGTGCGCAGGGTACTCCTGGCACTGCCCCACCCAGTGGCCCAAGTCCCATCCTTTGGAGCCACTTACGACTCAGGCCAGTTGCCAGGCCCTGGGCCCTGGTGAGCAGACCCACGGGGCCGAAGGGCAGGTCCTGCCGGACACGTTCCAGCTGCAGCCTCTGCTGGGCCATACTCAGGTGCTCCTGTCCCCGGTCCCCAGAGAAAAGAACAGGGCTGTGAGGGTGGGTAACTTGGGGCGGGGGTGGGGGGGGGCGAGGTCGGTCGGCGGGGGTGGCCAGAGCCGGGAGGGGCCTTGCCTGGTGCAGGTGCTGCTCCTGTTGCCGCAGCCGCTCCTGCTGCTCCTGCACCAGCTGTAGCCGGGCCTGCTGCTCCGACTGCACCTGCCGGGCCTCGCGTAATGCCCGCTCACCCTCCTCGTACTTCTCGGAGGCCACCTGCAGGGAGGCCACCTGGATCAGTGGGGCTGGCTGGGGTCAGGGCACTGCGCGTGCGCCTGCCACGCCCCTGCGCTGAACTGCCTGGCACCTGGCTCAGCCTGTCCACCTCCTCAGCTCGGAGCCTGATGCGCAGGGAGGAGGCGTTGACCCTCTCCTTCTCCAGCCGCAGCTCCTGCCGCTCGCGCTCCAGAGCCTCCCTCTCGGCCGCCAGCTGGTCCTCCTTGGCCCGGAGCTCGCTTGTCCGGATCTTGAGCTCCGCCTGCTCCTGGAGACAGCAAAGCCTGCACTGCATTCTCCTCTTGGGAGTTCAGCTGGGCCCTGCTCTGGGTTTGAGGGACCCCTGTTGGCTCCACCCGCCCTGACCCTGGGAGGAGGGGGTGGGGCAAAGGGTTCCCAAGACCATCAGAGAGGCTCTGTCGCCCCCCGGCTCAACTCCTCTGAACCCCCGTTTCCTCATCTCTAGAGTATCTAAGTCATGGGGATATGATGAGGATGGAACGAGCAAACGTGCATAAAGCACCTCGGACAGTAGAAGGAAGTTTTCACTATATGATTATCGTTGTAATTCCGACACACTGTTGCTGTGCCCTTTGCTAAGCTGACCCATCCCGACGGAGGAGATGACAGTGAGGGCGGAAAGGAAAGGGACAGGGCTGGTGGCTCCGGGCCCCACCTTGGCCAGGCTGACGAGGATGCCCTCCCGCTGGGAGTCCACCTGCAGGGCTCGCTCGGCCTCTCGCTCCGCCCGCTCCTTGCTCAGCTTCTGCTGGGCCGAGAACTCCGCCCACTCGGCCGCCAGGCGTCGTTGCTCCTCCCCGCACTTGTGCAGGACGGACTTCTGCTCCTCCAGCAAGGCACTCTGGGACACAGGCGCAAGGGCAAGGCGTGAGCGTCCTGGGCATGATGGCAGGGACGGCAGCGGGACGCGGTGTGGCCGGGCTCACCTTGGCCCTCTCCAGCTCCTCCCGCTCCATGGCCATCTGCTGGGCCATGACCTTCCTCTGCTCCTCCAGCGCGCGCTGTGTGGACTCCGCCTTGGACTGCTCGGCGCTCACCCGCCAGCGTTCCTGCGGCCGGGTCAGGGCTGAGCGCCTGCCCCGCTCAGGCCTGACCGCTCCCGCCGGAGCTGTGCAAAGCCACCCACGTCTCCCGTGCTATGCCACAAACACCTCCTTTCTAGAGAGGTGCAAAGCGAGCCCCACCCCCCAGAAGGACCCCGCGGCCCAGCAGCTAGGATGACCTGTCCTGAGGCTAGCCAGCATCCCTGCTCCCAGATCGCCAACCACAGCACTCAGCCTGCCTTCCCCCCATCAACCCAGCAGGCAAAGCACCAGGGTGGGCCTGATGCTGCGTATCCAAAAGGGACGTGGGGCACACACGGCATGAGGTTAGAAGCGTACCTTTGCCTGGCCCGAGGCGGGGGGCTTAATAAAGTGACCAAGTGAGGGACTGAATAAACAGGGTTCACGGTATGGAAACAGCTATCCCCACATATTGACATGCCCACAGGGTTTACATGACGCCATCAGTGGCTATCTCTGGCTAATGGGTAGTTTTAATTTTCTTACTGTTTCCTGTTTTTCAATTTTTTTCAGTGAGAGGTATCATGTTAAAAGCTAGTGCAAAAGGAAGAAAAGATATCATTTTTTAAAGAACTAAGCTTGCTCTTATATATGAAAGATAAGTAGGGAGTTCAAAATATACCTGTTACAGCTTGGGAGGCAAGAACATTGCTCCCAATGTCACAGGCATCAGCTGCCATGACAATTCAAGTGACAGGGAGGAAAGCGGGACATGCAGCTGATGGGCAGAGAGGGGCTCAGCTGTGGGGGGCGAGGGCACTTCTGGAGGTAGGGGAGGCGGAAGCAGAGGCAGGAAGGGGCAGAAGACATTTCTGAGGGAAGTCCGGAGGCTGAGGAGGCGAGGTCAGGGTACTGCTGCCCTCCCCTGGGGTGCTCTGGGGGAGACAGGCCCCACCTGCTCCAGCAGCCGGCTCTGCTCGTTCAGGCGGGCCTCCATCTTCCCGATGACCTCCTGGAGCCGGCTCCGCTCCTCCTCCGTGTCCCGCTGCTGCCGGCCCAGCCGCTCCTGCAGTGCTGGGGGCAGCCCACAGGGTGCTCACTGTCTGCCCAGCTACCCCAGACGGGACGGGGGAGGGACACGTGGCCCACACGGTACCTCGGAGCTGCTGGTCCCGCTGCCGGATGCCCAGCTCCCGCTCCTGGGTGGTGGTGAGGTGCGAGGCCTCCACACGGGAGGACAGCTCATTCAGGCTGCTGGAGAACTTCTCCATCTGCTCGATGACACCATTCAGGGACCTGGGAGAGCATCGGGTCACCCTGGCAGCACTGCCCCCTCGAGGTGGACAGGACCTGGACCTCGAACGTACCGTGTGTGGGAGGTGGCGCTGGTGACAGCATCGATTTCCCGGTCCTTCAGCAGCTTCAGCCGTTGCAGCTGCTCCTCGTGGTCCTTGCGTATCTCCAGGATGGAGGCCCTGAGGGACGGTGGGGAGGGCGGACTGTGGGCAGCTTTTTGAGGGGGAAGCAGGCCTCAGGCAGCCAGCGCCTCCCCTCCCCCAGGCACTGCCTCAGTTTCTCCGGCTCCTTGGCCTTATCTGTCTTGGTGCCTTAATGACATCCAGTCTCTAAGCAGGAGATTCCTTTTGTTATTCAGCAAAGGGTACTTTACCCAGAGGAAGACAGGCGGGGGGATGACCCTCCGTGTCTGGAATCTGAGTGGTGGGAGGTCCATAAGGCAGCTCTGCCCGCATCACCCAACTCCCTTATGGACCTTTTCTTAGTTTTGCTCTAACATAGAAAGGCAAACAGACCAACAACCCAGGCACACAGGGTAAACCGCTTCCAGGGTGGATCTGGTCACTTGACTGGAGGTCCAGCAGGCGAGTACTTTCACCTGTGTTGGGTTAGCCTGCGGTTCCTTGGGGCTGTCCGGTCCTGCCCCGATAGCCAGTGACCCCTCGGGCCCTGCGAATACTCTCTCCGCTTCTGTAGGAGCAGGAGCTGCCCCACCCCCACGCTCATGGGGACCGTGGGTCAGTAGGCTCGGCCTGGGTCCTGACTCGGAAGGGAAGGGGTCAAGCCTCGGTTTAAAGGCTGCTGAGTCAGGGCTTGGGGTCTCATGGAGGTCGGGCTCCCCTGCCCGCCTGCTCCTGTGCTGCACCCTCACCGCTGCAGCTCCCGGAGCCGCTCCATCTCCTGGTCCTTCTCCTGCGCGGCAGCTGCCAAGCGCCGCTGGTGCTGGGCTGTGAGCTCGGCCCGGGCTTGCTCGGCTTCCTGGCAGCGCGACAGGTACTGGCTGGACAGCTCCTCATTCTCTCTCCGCAGCCGTTCTTCGCGTTGCTGGTACGACGTTTCTAGCACCTTGATGCGACTCCTGCCAACAGAACAACCAGCCGTGGTGCTCAGAAAGTGAGGGCGGCCACCCAAAAGTCCTCTCTGCGCACATCGGCTGGGGCAGGCCATGAGCCTCGGAGAGCCCGGGAGGCCACAGAGGAGGGGGTACCTGTGAGCATTCTCAATGAGCTCCAGGTCAGCCTGGTGTCGCTGCTGCAAACTCTCCAGCAGCAGCTTGTGCTGGGTCCGCTCCAGTTCCAGCTTCCGCACCTGGGAGACGGCAAGAGGGACAGCATGGAGGGCGGGGAGGCGGGTCCCTTGGGCCACTTGGGGAAGCCTTCCAGCCCTCACAGTGACACCCTCCCATTGCAACCTGCCCCCACAGCCAGCTTCCCCGCTGCCCCTCACCTGGGCCTCCAAGTCTGCCAGCCGGGCCTGGGTCTGCAGCAGCTCAGTCTGGAGCTCAGCAGTGCCACTCTGAAGCTGCATCTGAGCAGCCAGCAACTGCTTCTGGTATTCTGTGCCTGGCACTAGGCTCTGTGTCAGGGACTCTGGGAGCAGGGACTGGGAGGGGAGGGCGAGAGACGCTCCAGGTTAGGTAGGGGACAGGGACGCAGCTGAACTCAGCTACCTCTGGCCCTCTGCTCACTGGACCTCCCAGGCCTTGCACCTGATCTGGGGCTGTAGATGGAGACAAGGACATGACACCAAGAGGTCAAGGATGAGTGAGGCCTTGGAGAGTCACACGGTCACTGTGCCTCCCCTGTCAGGTATGGTTAGAAGGAGTCCCGTCCTCCCTCAGAACAACAGCTATCCTCCCCAGCAGGGGTTCCAGATTCCTAGACAGAGGGCTGAGTCCCAGCAGTCTTAGCTACAATGAAAGCTTATGACACTGGCCGTTCTGTCAGGCCTGAATTCCCTGGTAGCTACTCTGCTTCCTGTGGGCTGCCCACCACCCGCCATCTCCAGAGGTGCTTCTGGGTTACCGGGGATATGCTTTTGTGGAGCTAGGCCTCCGCAGGCCCAGGGGACACACACCTGGGAAACACATGGAGGTGCAAGGATGGAGGAGGCTTTCCAGAAGGAACAACAGGACGCCTGCACCCCGGCTTTCTGACTGGAGCATTCCAGCTGCCCCTGCCTGGATGCCACCTCTAATTCCCTACTGTGCTGGCAAATTAGCAACCAGTTCTGCCTGGGAGTGGCAAGGCTAAAAGTTTAGGAAAGTGCTGGTGGGAGAGCCAGGGTGAGTTCTCTGATATCACAACACATTCTTCCCGGCCGTCTGTCAGGTCAAACTGCCGGTGTTGCCTCTGAGCACGGGAGAATTGTTTCAAGGGCCCGAGACCTATACCTGGTTGTCCGCCCTCCCTACCTGGACAGGCACAGGAAGTCCTGTGGGTTTCTGGGAGCTTGGGAAGCACATCACAGGCTCTGAAAAAGCAACAGCAGAGAACTGAGTAGGAGGGAGGCCCACAGAGGCCCCAGGTCTCGTGTGTGTTCCAACTTCACTCATCTTTGGGGGGCCCCAAAGGAAGCTCAAAGTGCCTCTTTCTTACCCAGAGTTAACCCCCAAATAAAGGAGAAAACAAACCAGTGCCAGAGAAGACTCCAGAGGCTGTGTCTTTTTTTGGGTCATGTGCATGGACAGCCAAGACGGCCTGATTCGAAGTCACAGGGGACCTGAGGACACACAGATGGGGGATGGCACGGGCAGTAAAGGGAAACATCAGGTTCAAGTGATAAAGCGGAAAGGCTCTGCTGGCTGGCAGTTTACTAAGTGAAGTCTTGGGTGGGTACAGAAGACGGGGATCTGGCTTCGAGAAGCTCCTTAATCAGTGGGCCTGATACAAGGTATGGAATGCCACACACCAATGCACAGCCGTCCACTGTCTCTAAGGAAGGAGGCCGTGCCCGCCCCGCCTGCTTCTCACCACCCTCAGCCCCACCTCTGGACATACCCCGAGGGGGCAGGCCTGGCAGGTGGCTTCTGTGCTGCTGTTCCTGAGGTCCCTCCAGCAGCTCCTTGTTCGAGCCCTTGAATGCTGGCGACAGGAGGGCTGAGGAAGTCAAGGTCAAAGTGAAAGTGAAGGGGGCAGAGGTCCAGGTTAGGCGGGACGAAGGCAAGGCGAGGCCCGTGCATGATGCCACGTGGCACCTCCTCTTCCTGCCTCCCCTGGGCTCTCCTGCTGTTCCCATGGGCCTGTCTTGGGAATTCTCCTTCCAAGTCTGAGCCCCTGGCCTTCCAGAAACCTCTCCCTACTGCAGGGCCCACCATGGCACAGTAAATGGGCACTGACCATCTGGCAGCCGTCCAAGGAGCAACAGAGGACATGTTATAGGCACCAGAGTTAAGTTCAAGTTCAAGGCCTTTAGACTGAGGCTCTGCTCACTTTCCTGCCAGGTCTAGCTGCTTTTGGGCTCCTCTCTTGTCCTGTGTGTTGTCCCCCCTCTCTTCTCGGCTCCGGGGGTCAGTGAGGAAGCTCTCCCCTTGGTTTCAGGTCCAGGTCAAAGCCACCTCCTCACTCACACCAACCCCAGGGCTGGGTGATGTCCCCAGCCTGTCACTTTACCGCCCCTTCGCTCTGGCCACATAGCACCTCGCCACTTCCTCTGGACGATCCCGGCCTTGCCAGTCCGTTTTGCCTTCCTGCCCCCAGGGGTCAATCACTGTGCTGCTCCACAGGAAGTCATTCTGTGGCTTCCCCCAGGAGTCACCTCTTGGCCGCTGTGTCTTCCTTAACATCCCCAAAAAGCACAGGCAGGTCTCAACCCACACATGCGTCATTTACTTCAGCTCAGGGCAGCAGGTGCACTGATAATTTGGACCCTGAGCCCCTGCTCAGAGATGGGTGCGTGTTTGCCACATTGGGGCATCCTCTGTCTCCCATCTGAAGAAGTCAGCACCTGTCCCCACAGCAGTTGGGGTGTGAGTGTCAACAGTCCCCCCATCCCCACCCGCTCATGTCTGCACCTGGGCAAAGGTGAGAGCCAGATGCTTTCTGTGCAGCGCCCAGAGGGAGAGCACAGGTAAAAGGTGGTGCTCTGCCGGAGCTCCCTGCACCCCTGCCCTGTCCCCCCTCCACTAGACAGCAACCCAAGCCCATACCTGTTGGAAGGGGGTTGGCGCGCTGCCCCCACCGAGTTCTGGCCCTTAGAGGTCGTGGTGTGTTGCTCTCTGGCCCGACCTTGGGACTTCCTCTGAGACAAGGTATGGCTCAGCCAATCTTCCTCCTCGTCCTCCTCAGGCGCGCCCGGCTGGGAAACCTGGCTGGCTTTGGCAGGGGAATCTGCACCCTGGGGTGGCGGCTTTGCCCCCGAGGAGGAGGGCAGCTCAGCGGGGGCAGAGTGCCCACCTGGGGCAGAATGCCGGCTGGCAGGATGGGGCACGGAGGGTGTGGCGAGCACAGAGCCTTCCCTTCGAGGCTCTCTGGTGGGAGACGGAGGGAGCAGGTCCAAGTCATCGTCCCTGAGGCCCAACCAGTCAGCTCCTCCCTTCCTGGGGTGGGTGGGGCTGGGTGTCACTGGGGTGCTCTGTCTGGAGCCTGGTTCTCCCTTGAGGTCGGTGCTGCCTTCCGCTAAGAATCTACTTCAAGACAGAGAGGAGGGAGTCTGAGGCAGGGCAAGCAGCCCGTCCCAAGAGCCCCCGACCAGCCTTTCCCTCCATTGCTGGGGGGTGACTGCGAGGCTCCCACAAGGAGGGAGTCCCGCAAACAAGGTGCCTGCGCCAGTTCAGGTGGCCGAGCAGGGGCAGCTGAGTGTGTTTGTGAAACATCGTGAAGCTTGAATTCCATCACGTGAACCAGGGACAAGGCCACCTGTAGTGAACGGGACCAAAAATGACGACCACGGGCACACATGTCCAGAGAAAACTCAGTGGGGTCCAGTGGTTTTAGGTGTTTCATCAGGAGGCATTTTGCTACGTGTTCATTTATTTGGTCATTGCCTGTACGTCTTATTGTCCTGTGGAAGCAGGTTCTGAGATTTAAGAATATACCGGGATTGGTAAAAAATGTCAATGTGTACGTAGGGTTATTTAGAGAAAGACAGACTGATGGAGCCAACATGGCATAATGTTAGCACCTGCTGAGACTAGGCGAAGGGTAGGAGGGAGTTCTTCATACTGTCCTTACAACTTCTCTGTTAGTTTGAAATAATTTCAAATTGTAAAGTTTAAAATATATACTGGGAGGAAAATCCCAAATCCAGAAAATTCTATCCTCTAGCTTAGTGTTTTGTTGGAAACGGGGACGAGACCGCTGTCAGGATCTGCATGGCAGACTCCAGGCCAGGGTTCCTGGGAGCAGGGTCTGAGAAGCCACCACAGGTTAGCGGCCCTGCTACCCCTGGAACTGGATGTCCCTCAGGGAGAGACACCGACATCGGCCGTTTACGGCTTCAAGGAGCTTCCGGAGGAGTTGGGCCCACCTTCTCCTTTTCCTTCCAAGGAGGCGGGGAGCAGAGCCTGGACCTAGGCTCCTGCGGGGGGCTGGGCAACCCCCTGCTTTCGGCAGCTCCCGCACAGCCTAGAGCCTTGCCTAGCGTGGGCTCCCAAACGAGACTGTTGGTGGGGGAGGGTGAGGCCAGCATGTTTTCCCAGTGGGCAGCCGTCTCCCAGGCCAGGCTCCCTGCAGGCCCTGCTCACCTGACGGACTGCCGGCGGGACTGCCGGCCCTCGGAGGAGCCCATGGTGGGCTGATAGGCACCAAAGATGAAGTCCTCATCGCCCCCGGTGTCTTCTTTGTCTGTGAATTAAGGGGCCTGTGACCTCAGGTAGGGGAGTCAAACTGTTGTGGCTGCAGAACTTGTTTAAAAAGGCTGAACTGGCAGTCTGGCATGTAGCTGCTTTGGAGGAAGCAGGGGTGAGGGGCTGGGCGTCTGCTCCACTCAGAATGAGTATTGGGGAGCCGCTAAAAATGCACTGGTGGGGCCCTGCCCGACGTCCCCAAGGCATCAGGAGAGAAGGAAAACACCCATGCATTCATGAAGGGAATTTTCCCTCTACTTTATAAAATCTTCAGTTTGAGCCTGTCTTCCAAGTCATCGCAAAGAAGTTCCCCAAATATCTGGGTGAATGCAACATACCGTATTTGCCGGCGTATAAGACGATTTTTTGGCCCTGAAAAATATGCCTCCAAGTGGGGGGTCATCTTATACGCCAGGTACACTTCAGATAGACTGCCCATAGTGCTTGCCCCGTGCCATAGTGGCCTCCCGATGCCCGCCCACTTCATTCCACATACCGTTCAGGCATCAGCAGCGCTGCTGGGTGTATGCTCGGCTGTTATGCGATTTTGCTGTTATGCGATTTTACCACACTCGCAAAATCGCACACAGCCGACCATACACCCAGTATGATAGCGCAAAATCGCGAATCGCGATTTATGTATATGTTTGATTACATACAGCCTTGTGACAGTTTTCCTGCATGTCATAAGCATTTGAATATAAATATAAATGTTGAAATCAAATCTGATATTGTTTTACCTTTTATTTGGTGTGTGGAAGGTGTGCGGAAGAGGGGGTAGTCTTATACGGCGAGTATATAACAAACTCTGTATTTTGAGTGGAAATGTTAGGGGGTCGTCTTATACGCCCAGTCGTCTTATACGCCGGCAAATACGGTAATTAGTCCCTCCCTGGGTTCATCAGGAACCAAGTCAGTGGCATCAGCGCTCTGTTCCTGGTCTGACACACAGTGACTTGGCCACGGGTAAAGAAGTAAGCAATACTCAGGCTACTCTCAAAACTGCCGAGTCCTAGAAGTGTGCCTGGGTGAGGGGCCTGTGGTACCTTCAAAGGAAAACTTCCTGTACTGATGCCCAAAGCTGCTGGGAGAGGGAGGTGGCTTCTTGGTGGGAAGGGCGTCCCCTGTAGAAAGCAAAGAGAAGGCAAGGTCACGGGTCTTTCCTGGCCGAGGTGCTTCTGCCACACCATGACTGGGGCCATGGGAGGGTGTGCACTTCTTCCCGGGCGGTGGGGTGAGAGTGTGTGACCATGGACAAAGCCAAGAGATGGGTCTACACCTCCCCAGTTCTCACATAGGTAGGCTTCTGGCAAGGAAATGTGGTCCCCAAGTCACTCCAAACAGGGACATAGGTTTGGGAGAGGCACAAGATACCATCCAATTCTCCCGTTTAACCCAAATGACCTCACCAGGAGCTGCCATGTTGGACTTAGAGGGACGAGAACAGCCCTAGGAAGGGAGGAAGCTCAACTTGTCCCCCCACCGCCCACCATGAACACTCCCATACACAATCAGGTCCTGGCCTCTCCATCCCAGGCAGAGAAAATCCACCAGACAGGAAAGCTTCCTTCTAAGCATCCTCCACGCCCCCAAGGCCTCCCGACACCCGAGGAGCAAGGCCCCCTCACCTTTCTCACTGGCTGTGAAGACGCCAGCAGGCTTGGGGTTGCTGGGCAGCTCTATTTTCCCAGAACCCTTTGCAGCACTTTTGCTAGAGGTTAGACGAGACTTCTTCAGACCTAAGAGATCAGCATCCATGTCGTTCAGATCCTGGAGAAGCAGGAAGGAGGGAGGAATTCCCACAGGTGCTCAGCTGGTGTTTGCTAAGTGCCCTCACACTCCCAGCAGCTGGTGGTGACCTTGCCTCCATTTGCCCATGGGGGACAAATGGGGACGTGGGCTGGGGAACTGACCCGACAGGGTTACAGAACAGAGACAGAGGCAGGGCCAGAGCGCAGCCTCCACAGGTCCAGTCTCAGATAAGCCCACTGGTCTTGGACTGAGACTGCCTGGCAGCTGCTGCCCTGATGCTTGAATGAGAGCGTGGCTAGCACCTGCGTTCAGCAGCTTCTTACAAAGGCTGGGCCTATGTTGAAGCTCTGTTTGCAGAAGAAACGAAACAGCAGGACCCTTGCATTTAAGGGATGCAAAGGGATGGCTGCTGGGCAGTGAGAAGGGGCTGAGACTTTTTGTCCACAGTCAAGGAAAACTTTGGATTCCTTAGCTTGCCTGGGTCAGGGGAAGCAAAGTGCAGCTAGAGGCAGAAGTTTAATGAGAATGCTATTCTGCGTCAGCGAACATTCTACGGTGATGACATTAAAAACCAGCATGAACCAAGCCAGGAGGTGAAGGCAGTTAGGGACTCTAGGCCACCACAAGCCCTCAGTACACACTCACTGAACGATTTTGATAAGGGATAAAGACTTCATTTGAGGAGGGCAGTTGGCACCCGAGGGGCGGAATTGTGAGGAAATAAAGGAAAATGAGAAATCTATTCAGAAAAGATGAGTTGGGAAAGAAAATGGATCCAAAGAGAAGCAGAGTGGGGTGGGGGCCTAGCTCATGGTTCTAGAATGAGAGACTCAAAGCCATCACCAAAACTGATTCAGAGGACTTGAGGGTCACGCCGGGGTCCCAGCTGGCTGGCCTTGGGAAACAGCCTTGGTTTCAAGCGGAGGTTAAAGAAGTTGCATATGGAGCCAAGAAGGGAACAGGCCCCATTCTTTAGGGCCTCACAGGGCTTAGCCTTGGCCCGGGACTGAGGTAACATGAGTTACCCAGAGGGCCACAGGGCCGAAGTCGGGCAGGAGGGTGTTGCTGGACGGAAGGGGACGGAGGGAGACTTGAGGTCTTAGACTCTGGCCAGGCCACATGAGCATGGAGAGATTATTCTCTTATAAAGTCTTCAGAATTTATGTCTTAAAATTCCATTGCCAAGGTTAGCTTGGGGCTTGATCTGATGAGAGGACAGCTGTACTGAAGGGGACTTGGCAGGGGGTGTGGGGAGAAATATGGAGAAAGGTTAGGAATAAGCTTTAGAGACGAGTCCCTCCCTTCTCCCTAGGCCAGCGGTTCTCAACCTGTGGGTCGTGACCCCTTTGGGGGTTGAATGACCCTTTCACAGGGGTCACCTAAGACCATCGGAAAACAAAAAGATATTCACATTACGATTCATAACAGTAGCAAAATTACAGTTCTAGAGTAGCAACGAAAATAATTTTATGGTTGGGGGTCACCTCAACATGAGGAACTGTATTAAGGGGTCGCGGCTTTATGAAGGTTGAGAACCGCTGCCCTAGGCGGTGGTGGGGTGGAGGGCAGCAGCCAGGTGACTCATCAGCGGGGAGCCGACCCCATTTCAACAGAGGCCTGTGGCATGATGTGTCTCTGGGTGGGTGAATCTCTATAAACTAGGAAAAGTAATTCACACCCAGAGGGACAGAGGGCAATAGCTCCCGCATGAGCTCCATTCCTGCAGTAGGAAGGGCTCAAAACACAAACCGTAAAAGGGGAAATTAGACGGAGGGTGAAGGCTTGTCATGAGGCATCAGTACCCCATGCCACCCCCGGCTTCCAGAACCGTACAAGCTGTTTCATCACCTTCATGGTCTGAAGCAAAGCCTGTGGGTCCGCTTCTGAGACGTCTGAAACCTAAGTTCACAGGAGGGTGGGGACAAGTGTTAGTCGCAGCCCGTCGGGGTGCTGGGCTCTCGCCCCTTGTGGCCTGACTCTGTCAGGGCAGGAGCAGAGCTCGGCCGATGGGGCATAAATGGGAGTGTCCTGGCCTCACTAGGGGCTTGAGTGTTGTTAGAAGTCAAACCTGCCCAGCTGGGGAGACCCAGAAAGGGCTGCCGCTTTTTCTTCCTCCCAACTGGAAAGACCACTTCCATCACAGGACTCCAACTACGCTCCTTCCCATCCACGTGACTGGACAGCGGTGGAGTTTATGATGGGAGCCCAGTTAGAAGGGGCCACATCCGAGACTCCAGCAGCTGCTAGGAGCTCTACTGTCTAGGCCATGTCACCAGTAGGAAGGTGACAAAGCAACAAGGACGTTGCTTTGGGCGCTCGGCAGCCCCTGGGTACTGTTCTGCTGTGAGAACCAACTGGTTTTGCAGGGACTTCTAAACCCTTCTGTAGGCGGCCCCTGGGCCACAGCACCCATCTCACTGTTTGCGGAGATAAGTAGAGAGGGTGGGGAGTAGGGGATGGGCCAGGCTCACCTCAGCGTCAGCTCCTTCCAGGTCTGCCATAGTGCTGAAGGCGTCATCTTCCAGGAGGGACCTGCAAGGGAGTGTGTGTGTGTCGGGGGGAGATTGGCATGCACCCCCATTCCCCGGGCACTGGGTGATTCTAAGAAAAGAAAAACGGCTTAGAGAGTCCAAGTGAATGCGGAGAGGCTCTTCTCTGGGAGAAGAGAGTTGCTAAAAGGAACGTCATGAGCCACATAATGCAGTGATTTTTAACTTTTTTTAAAGCAGTAGAGCCTCTTTAAAAACAAACTGTTAATAACAACAGGTAAGAGGGAAAAACAGAACTGCTTTGGCTAAATGAAGGTGGGGTGGAAAACTCACAAAGCTCCTTCCTATCACTCAACTGTCAGGAGAACCTTAGAAGAAAACACACCATTGGAAAATCACCAATCTAGGCCAACCCTCTTGTTCCGAGGATAAGGAAATTGAGGCTCAGAGAGGTTCAGGAATTGCCCATGGTCACATAGTAAGTAAGAGATGTAGAACCAGAAGCCAGGACTTCTGACCCCGGCTTCTGTTCTCTTTCTACTCCCCCAGGCTCCTTCACCGACCAGGAGCTGAAGGATCGAGGAGGAAACCACTGACATCCAAAGCGGTGCACAGTAAGCAGCCAGTGCGGGGGTGGAGAGGCAGAGAGCATTTGGCCTGAACTGGGTCATGGATGAACACCCACCCAGTCCCATGCTTACTTTGCTCCAGCCCTTGCAGAAGGCAGCGTCTGGGTTACACCTGTGTTATCTCTGGCACGTGAAGCTAGTTTAACAGGCTTCTCAGGTAGTGTCGCTGGAAAACAAGAAAACAGAAAAGATGTCATTCGGCTACAGAGAGCTGGAGTGAAGATGCAAGGTCCCCACCAAGCTGTCCCCCACCTCCCTATGGAAAGAAGGGGTGACGTTATCCCTTGAAAAACCTGAATGTGGAAACCATCCAAATACCCATTACTAATGGATGGATAAACAAAATGTGGCCTATCCATGCCATGGAATATTGTCCAGCCATAGAGAAGAACGAAGAAAAGAACCTTGAAAACGTTATGGTAAATGAAAGAAGCCAGTTACGAAAGCCACATACTATAGGATTCCGTTTTATATAAAATGTCCAGAATAGGTAAATCTATAGAGAAAGAAAGCAGATAAGTGGTTGCCTGGGGTGGAGGGGTGGGGAGAATGGGGGGTGACTGCTAATGGGTATGGAGTTTCTTTATGGGGTGATGAAAATGTTCTGGAACTGTGGTGATGGTCGTCCAACTTTGTGACTATTCTAAAAGCCACTAAATTGTACACTTTAAAAGAGTAAATTTTACGTGAATTATATCTCAGTTAAAGAAAAAAGAACAAGGGGCGGCTGGGTGGCTCAGTTGGTTAGAGCTCATGCTCTGAACAATAAGGTTGCCGGTTCGAATCCTGCATGGGATGGTGGGCTGCGCTCCCGGCAACTAGATTGAAAACGGAGAGTGAACTTGGAGCTGAGCTGCGCCCTCCACGACTAGATTGAAAACAATGACTTGACTTAGAGCTGAAGGGTCCTGGAAAAAAACACACTGTTCCCCAATAAAGTTAAAAAAAAAGCATTAAAAAAAAAAGAAACAAGATCGAGCCTAAATCAGGGGATTCTGGGGCAGGGGCACTTACTCTCATCCCCCAGGAGGTCATCAAGGATATCATCAAAGGAGCCTGGAACAGAAAGGGTGGCATCATGGCTTCAGGAAGAAAGACTGGGCCTTACAGCCTCGCCTCGAGACCTCCTCCCCAGGACCTCGGAGCTCTCAAATGCTGAGCCTTGGGCTTAGCTCTCTCTTCACTGGCTATGAGATGTTTTCTAACTCTCTGGCAACAAGTCACAACGCCTTATTGCAAGACCTTAGGGTAGAAATTGAGAATAACTTTCTCAAAGGATGATGATGACAATTTTCAGGAGCACCTAAGGTCTACGTGACACACTGGCCAACAGGCCCGCGTTCGAGACTGAAAAAAGCCCAGTGTGCTTCTTCGGGAAAAGTGTCTGAGATTTCTAGGCACATACGAGCTTCCTTCATACTAACAGTCTTCATGTCCCCTTCCATCTGAGTCCCCCAGAACTGGTCTGGAGGCGCACCTCCTTGGCCACTTTCCGATGGGGCATGTGTGGAAGCCCGAGTGCGAGGACTGAGTTAGCTCTCGCATCCAGTTTATGTGCCTTCACCATCCCTCACCTACAACCATATACTTCTGGATACACAGCCCAAAGAGAAGGATTTTTTTCCCCAAGTCCCATCCCTTGCTCTGTATTACTCTGCGGGCCAATCAGGCAGCATAAGGAGTCGCCTAGCTAGACCAGAGCTCCCTATGGGATTATGGGGGATCCAGCAAGACACACCAAGAACATTCAGACACCCATAAGTCCGGGTTATTTTTAGACCCAAGGCGAGGGAAAGATTTTTGGCTTAAGGATGATGTTCCATCTGTCCACTCACTTTTCAATCCTTTCTTGATTTTTGGTGCCTAAAATGGGAAAAACAAATCACTTGAACAAAATCGAACAATGAACGTGTATTGAAACCGAGAACGCAGAATGAATTGCTTTGCCTTTTGCCGTCACCAGGGGAAAAAGGAGCACCAATGGCATTTAGAGACAGAGGCCCTTTATTCTTTCCGAGAGTTTCTGAGAATAGACTCATTCAGAGCGTGAAAACAGCGCTCACCGGCCAGCAGTGGATGCCACTGTGGGTGCAGCCGTCATGGGCAGAAGTCTCTTTTTCCCTGATTTCCAGATGCCACACACAAACCCTCCCAGGCATGATATAATGAGACTGAATGTTTTCCTCTATTCCCTGTCCTCAAATCCTCAACCAAGGGACAGACTTAAAAATGATTCCAGCTAGACATTCAGAAGCTCAGAAGAAATGCTTGCTCATTGCTTAACAAGAAGTTTGATATCAACGCTACTTCCTGTCATTCTTCTCCAGGGACTACAGCCAGGTCCTTACCACCCAGCCCCCTCAGTACTCCATGCAGTCAAGATCTTGGGGATGGGGGAGGGTTCACAGTTCCATTAGTCTTACTATGCATTCTGCCTACCATCTCCAGGGTCTGGGGGCTGCTTGCAGCTTCTGCACCACGCTGTCCAACTCATTTGAATTCTGCCCATATCGGGCTCATTGTCCCTAATGAAGAAAATTAAAGTGGTTGCTTGAGTCCAAGGCCTGTCAAGGCTTTTCTCATTTTACCCATTCAAGAGGTCAAAACCTATTTCCATGAATTAAAAATTCCTTATAGGCGGAGCAATTCAGATGAGAAGCAAAGTGTTCTGGGTAACTGGAGCTTTCCCAGGCCTGGAGATTTCTCACATACAGTTCATTGCTCCTCATCCCCTACCCTGAAACAGGACGCAGGGGATGACAGGTACCCACCTCAGAAAGGAGGTGGTGCCTGGCCCGACGGCCAAAACACCTTTCCAGGCAACACCCAGGACTACTTTCTAGGCGGCATTTGGCAGAAACAGCTGATGTGAGCGCTGGTGGTTCCTTGCCAGTGTTTTCACCCACAATAGAATTTTTTCCCCTTCACACTGACTGTAAATCCGACTCACCCCATTAACAGAGAGGACTGTTTTCCCCAGAACTACCACTCTCCCCCGCCCGCTCTGCAACTACGGACCTTTGGCACGCCTTGGAAGAAAGGAGTCCGAAGGGGCCATCTCTATTTTCTGGTGATGGACTGTCCTGTTATTAGAATGAAAAGTTTATCTGGGGGTTACATACAGGGCCCACTCTGAATGTTTGTTTCTCTTTCTCTGTAATGGCAACTTTCACGGCCTAAAAGTGCAAACACGATTTGTCTCGTATTACATCCAGGAACTTCAGTCATCTCCTATCGATCGTGTCCCGGCCTCCCAGGCCGCGAGAATTTCTAAGAGAGATATGAAACGGCCACTGGGCCACAAGAACCATCACGTCGTCGCATTTACTCAGCCAACTCCGTGCCAGTCATTTGAAAATCCCGAGCCCGCCCATTAGCAAGGGCCCTCCTCTTAGCAAAGGCCCTCCGGGAGGCACCCCGTCGGTCCCAAGACTCCGCGCGCCCAGCCCATCTAGACCCCCGAGTGCAGCCTACGATCCTCCTAGCCCCTAAAATCCCCTGGTTACGAGCTATTCCCTTCCGGAGAGCAGCCGCTGGGACCTGTCGGAGCCATAGCTGTTGATACGGACTCCTCAAGAGCCCAGCTCGGGCAGACCTCCCGCTTCGGATCCTCCAGGACGCCAATCTCTCAGTCGCCGGGCCTCCGAAAGAAAGGCGAGGCGCGCGGCATCCTGGGAGTTGTAGTCCAAGGCCCGCTCACCTGCCGGTGCCAAGGGAACAGGGGACGCCAAGATTAACTACATTTCCCAGAGTGCCAACCGCGGCGGCGCCGGTCCTCCGTTCGTGGCTCCTCCCGTTGCTAGGAGGTGCCTCAACGCCACTTTGGGAAGTGGGCTCCCGGTTCCAAGACAAGCGGGATTCTTCCTCCTGCCATTCCGTGGAGGCCTGGGTTCCAAGACTGAAAGCTTAAAAGTTCCTCCAGCACTCTTGAGGGCTGAGTTGTGGCCAGGTGGAGGGCGTGAGAAATGTGTTAAGATTGGAAGATTGACGTGTGAAACCATAATTATGTATTTATCCCACTCCAAAGCTTAGGGAAGTGGCCGTGACCCTCCTATTAAGAAAATCAAAGATGCAAAGCCAGAATAAAATCCAACACCGTAAGCAATGAAAACATGTAACGCTTTTTGTGTTAATTACAGATTTTATTAAGGGTCTTTCAACTTTACAAAGGAAAAAAAAAGTTTAGTAGCTTGGCTTACCAGAAGACCATGCAGTGCTGGCGAGTCTCTGCAGTCTAACCATGATTCACACGCCCAGGACCCTCGGGACCCATGCACTTTCTCCTACTCCCACCCCCACTGACGCATTCAGCCAGGGATGGGTAACAATACATACTAAATGCATCTCGTCAGGTAGGAACCAAATTCAAATCCACAACAGTAAAAGGAAAATGGGTAGTAATTACACACTCCAAAGGATGCAATTGTAAATAAAATGGTGTTTATAAAGTAGTCAGCAGTCTGAATGTTATGTGGAAGATCACATATTTTAATGAAAGTCAACAGTACTGTGGCAAAACAACTTATTTTGGTTCAGAATTCTTAAAATCACTCCTAATTTTCCATGATCTTCTTGAGATAATGATTAGCCCACTTCAATTTAAGGCAAAATCAAACAAAACCCCCTTGGAATCTAGCAATTTGCAGGTCTGCAACAGCTAACATCTGGTAACTCCTAAGTTTCCTTAACACATTCCTATGTTTACTATCATGGACCACAGGAATAGTTACTGAAAAGTTAATTAAGTGTGGACAGCTACAAGCTAAACACCACCACCATTTTAAAATGAAAGATCGGTCATTTTAGTCATTTACATGATTTGGTCTAATCCTCCAATGGAGTAGTCAATATTTACTGAAACGACTTCCACATTATTCCATGAAAATGATCAAAACCTTTCTGAGTCAGGAGAATCAACCTGAGTCAGGAGAATCAACAAGACCCTTGGTCTTGGGTAGAATAGTCCATTTTCTGGCACTGCTCCTCTCCAGCTGCAGTGGGAGCTAACTACTGCTTGAAGACAACCTATAACCCCAGGCATACCTTCCACATATTTAAAAAGACTAGCAGCTGTTACAGACCATCTGCATCTCTTCTTCCTTCCTAATAAGACAGATGCAAAGAACTCAGAAAGGGGGTGGAAGGCCTGAGCAGGAGTTATCTAAAGAATTTTCATTCCCCAGGGAACTCTAGGATCATGAATTTGAAGTTATTAATTTCTCCAGTCAAAGCCCTGCATTGAAGAAAACCAAGAATTAAGATCTGATGTGTTAATTTTAGGAACTAGAAAATGCCTCCAGGTACATGTAATCTGAAATTACAAGTGAATTCTCAGAAAACACACATAGTTAATACTGCAATTAGACAAATGTTCTGAAGATAAGCTGATACTTATCATTGTAATGTTCTGAAGATAAGAACACGAATGGCCTCAAGGCTTTGGTTTGGACAAACTGTTTAGAGGTCACTGATGCGCAAACACTGAAATACACCTCAGTATGTCTGATAGAACATAAGATAGAACTCCACAAACATTTGAGGAAGCATCAACCTTCATCCGTTACAAATAGCAAAAGCATCCCTATTAAATCTCAAAATTTCAATTTTGGGTACTGTTCAGAGTACTTTTTAAAAGAGGCTTAATATCAGTATTATCTAATAGAAAAATCTCATTAATTCTACTCAATATTTATCATTTCGGAGAAGATTAGGGTGAAGTTTATCTTTGTGCTGTGAGAACGGCTCACAGAAGAACCCAACACAAGCACACTTATCTACGCCAAGTTTGGCTTCTTAGGGACAGCAAACTGGACCTGAGTGCTTTGTAGCAGTCAACAAAAAGTTCTTAGAAATGGACCAGAGCACTTGGCCTCTGTGACAGCAATTGCAGTGGATTTCAGTGCTATCTGCTCAGGCAGGTCTCACTCCTTCCTTTTTTTGTTCCTAGTGTTACCCAAACCTCATAAACCTCTGTCTTACAATCCTTCAAAATTTGAATTTGTGTTGATTATGTGGTACTCTTTCTCTCTTGATAGTGCAAATTAGTGAGGTTTTACTATGTTTTTATTCTTTGATCACAGTGAATAAAGTTCAAGACAAAACATTCCAATGTTAATAAAATTAGTATTAAATATCAGATTTAGTTTTTAAATAAAACTCTAGGGGCTGGACCAAAGGTGGCTCTGTAGTGTCTACTACAACCTGTCAAACCTAAGATAGTTCCCAGATCTGTGCAGTTTGATTAGGTGGGTGTGATTTTGAACACTCTCAGAAGCTGATTACAGGTATTCATCTGAGTAAGGTATTTAACCACTGATTTTGAAACAATTCTACACTTAAAAGGCTCAATAATTGCTCAATATTAAGCAATTTATATTTACATTGTTATTTCCCAGAATCTGAACTACTGTCAAGATGTACCCAAATGAGATTAACACAGAGTGCTTTTTATTTCAATCTTAACACAATTATCAATTAATTCTCCTGGTGGAAAGATTAAGGCTTGTATCAACAGATAGTATTTCTGCTGGACCTAAAATTCTCATATTACTGGTTCCGCTGGAATAAGATTTTATGTCAGGTCCCAAGATAGGCATTATATTTCCACTGAGTTATACTACATTCTCAAGACTGATTCTAGAACTGGTTTCATGAGGCAGATGTCACAGATACAGTTAACAGATTGAAAAAAAAATCAAGTAACATGTTGTTTTACATTGATTTTAAGAATAAAATTCACTAAGCGGTACATGTTTACCCTTTAAATATAGAATGGTTGTGTAAATTAGATTTCAGCTGAAAGGACAATTTAGCAATTCAGATAAAAGCTCCTAGAAACATACTGAAAATAAAGCCAAATATACAATAAGAAATACTTCTATGGAACTTCCATTTATCCTTTAGCCATAGTTTCAATGATTATGTTTTCTGATCCAAAAATCAGGACACATGGTTTGTTACAGGATATTTCTGTGCTACTCCTGGGGGTAAGAGGTAACCTGAGTGATGATTTGCTTTTGTAATGCCAGGTACTGTAACCTCCAAGCATTTTAATGGTTTATGCCAAAATGACAGAATACATGAAATCCGGATTGTTCCAGAAAATCCAGTTAATATGGTGACCAAAGTTATTGTAACGGTAACCGAGAGCTCTCCCTACACTTAAGTCTACTAGGAAGGAACTGACTCTTCTTTCTTTCTTCAGCATCTCTTTCGGGAGAGGTTAAGGGAGAACGGGAGGGAGATCAAATGCCACTGACTGAGGTTCCATCAGTTGCCAATAGTGCTATGTAGAGGTAATTTCGCTACCCACCCCTTCCCAGAAGTTTGGGACAAACGGAGCTATGGTACTGCTACAGTGATAATTTAGGGATTCTTCTAATGGAAGATTAATTCCCAATTACACAAGACAATGATCCTGCAGTAGGCCTGTGCTGAAGAAGCTTGTGTTAGAAAAACGCTACTACGAACAAACAGAATCAGCAACCAAGGGGAAGCAGGCAGAAAAGGTGTTAAGCACAAACTCACACTAACTTTCCTGATTAGTTTCTTTCCCCCATTCAGTCCTGCTTGTAAGTCAGGGCCCACGGCAGGAGTGGCAGGACATTTAGCAGGCAAGCTAGGGAGGGTTGTACCCCACTTTAAAAATACCTTTGCTTAAAAACACATATATCCAGTGATTAGCAATTAAGACGTGAAAATAATTAACTACTTAGTAGTTAAATTCTACTAATTATCAAAAGTTATGGCCTACTGGGATCAGCAGCGTTACAAATGGAAGTCATACTGCATTTCTTAAAGCTTTTTCTGAATGCTTGACAGGTCTCTTTCAGTGTTAATTGCACTTAAAACACATCTATTTTTTCATTTAATCTCTGAAAGCTCTTCACTTTTTTCTTCATTAACAACGAGGAAAGGGGTCAATTTATCATTTGCTCTATAGCGCTCTGAATTGGAATTTGATGAAGAGTCCACGCAGATTTGTGTGGCAGGTACAAGGGGAGTGGAGAGTACAGCTGCTTCCTGGGCAGATCAAATGTGTCATGACCTTCAGAGCTTGGACTGCAGTGGCTTCAGGTGCTTGTAGTAAGATTCATGGACCTGTGGGGAAGGGAGCGAGAAGAAATGACTGATCAGGAGTTGGCAGTGTAAAAGAGCTTACTTTTAATCAAGAAATTATCCGGACCTTATTTGGGTACCGATCCAAAGAAACTGAAGGGGGGAAAAAAAAAGAAATGTGCCTATTGGGGAAATCTGGACATTGGGTAGTTTGGACATTGGGTAGTTGACGATATTAAAGAATTATTGATAATTTGTTTAGGTGTGAGAATGGTATTGTTATGTTTTTCAAAAGAGTCCTTATCTGTTGGAGATAAACACCGAAATATCTATGGACAAAATTATCTGACGTCTTGGATTTGTTTCGAAATCATCCTCAGGAGAAAGGGGTGGGGTTTCAGATGAAACCAAGTGGCCAAAACAGACAGTTGCTGAAGCATGGCAAAGGGTATATGGAGGTGTATGATAGTATTCCAGTTTTGTGTATGTTTATAATTTTTCAATTAGTTATTAAATAGTCAAGGAAATGAAAAACCTGTCTACTGCAGGAATGACCCAGTTCCCTTCTGAACCTGCTGCTCAAATAAAGAGACTGTCTGAAGCGGCCACAGGAATTTTCAAAGCTTTCACAGATGGACTGCTCTGAGAGGTTTTTCCTGCCTTAATATTTAAATGAAGAATTTCAAAAGGGGAAAAGACATTGATTTTTTTTTTTCACCTCTGCTTTGTTCAGTGGGGATTTCTTGGCCCACTCAAACAAGTTCTCATACACATTCCCATCATAGCGGCCAAGCACAGAGCCCAGTGACACATCCTGAAAATCAAACGCATCAACCAAAGCAACAGCATCTGGGCGAATCACAGTCAGTAACTCCTTGATACGCTGGTGTACTTGGGTAATCTGAGAGTCTGTTAGGATGCTCTCCTGGAAGAAACAAAACAAGCAAATGATATGTGTATACACACACACACACACACACACACACACACACACATATAAACAGATATATATATGTGCATGCACAGCTATAAAGCAGACCATTATTCTTCTACAAAAAATAAAAGAGACTTAAACTTAGAAAATACTGACCTGAAGAAAATCCCCTGCCTTCTGACTGATTCCATACAAAGAATACAAAAGACATAAATTCCTTAAGACAGCTTGGATGGATTTATCTTGAATTTTGAGGAGTTTTTCTGAAAAGAGCTTAACTGTCACATAGTGGCAATGTGCCTGCATAAAAAGAAAAAACCCACCAGAATGTGAGAACCATTGAAAAAGATTTGACACGCGGTGACAAGGGTTTCTGCCCTAAAACAACGAGGGGAGGTGGTGGAGTAAAGAACGGAGAAGGGGAGAAGGCGAGAGATCTATCACTGACCTCACTGGCTCGAACGAGGTCAACGGAGGTTAGGTTCCACGCTACCTCCTTGCTTTTTCTGTGAATCACTTCAGTTTGAAGGTTTTTCGCAGCAATCTCTACCAATCTGTTAAGAAATGAAAGAAAACCGAAGCTCAGAGGAAGTGATCAACAGCACTCGCAGCTGCCCCGCTTCCGTCAGGCCCCTGCCCCAGAGGCCCCCCCAGCCGCCCAGTCTAGCTCGAGGGTGAGCTCACCTGGCTGCACGGAGTTTATAGGCCTCTGTTAAGCTCTCGGGGCTGTTGATATCCACCACCGCCGGCCAGACTGCCACCTGCTGTGGCTGGATGCGCTGACTGGGCAGGTCGTTCAAGTAGGACACCATGCCACACGCCAGCTTCCCTGAGTGTACCTGGTCATAACTTTTCATCAGGAACCTAAAAGTCACCAGTACACATGCTTTCAGTAACTGTGCTTCTTGCGAAACAGAAACAAAACAACCTCTTGAAAGGGCTTAAATCTATGGGATAGGTGTTTCATACTCGCTAGTCTGATCACGACAAACACAGTGGGTCAGAAGGCAAACATGACGTCTTTCAGGAACAAATATAATAGGAAGAGAAAACACGGGCACAGGAACCGATGACAAGGACTCGGACTCTTATTCCCAGGTAAGCGGGACCATGAGTAAGATTCTCACCTAGCCGTCTGTAGCATCATGACCGTGTTTTCTCCCTCAAAGGTGCAGGTTGGGGTAAAAGTGACATAAATATTCGGAAGACCGCTGCAGTGAGAATAGCCATGCCCGCCACAAGCCATCCGACACGCTTCGATGGCGGTGTTAGTTGTCCAGGAGGTGAAAGCCTTCAGCCCCGCGGTGAGCGCATGAAGCTGAAGGGGAAAAGCACTGGCCATCAGAACATCAGAGGTGCCGAAGTCCGAGTTCCAACGAGAAATGCTCATCCTCAGCTACCCGTGCTGGTCACCTTCCAAATCACTTGCCACGCACGTAACTGAAGCAGCATGGTCATCGAATTGGCCTGAACTAATAACATGCCCACACTCCCTTCTGAACTGTTCTCCGCTTAGGTTCCTTTAGTTAACAAATGACCAACATGGTCCAGCACTTCTGAAACTTAAAGGAAAAACCCACATGTCTTTATATCTAGTCCACTTTCAATCAAAAAATCTCTGTATCTTTTGAGACTATATGGAGTCTTCGAGAAGTCCCAGTAGTTTTCTCTGGACATTATTCAACAGGCAAACATGAACAGAAAGGTGCCCACAGTGAAGGAGACAGAACACGTACCTCGGGCAGTTCGCTCAGGTCCCCTTGGCCAATGTCTTCGTTAATCCGATGATAGGTCTCCTTCATGTAAGCGCCTACAAAGTGGAAGGCATAGGCCGTGGCCAGGAGTGGAAAGAGTTTATACTGCTGGGTCTGAAAATCCAAAATCTGTGGTTCTGGCTCGCTAAAGTATATAGAACAAGAAAAAAAAATTAAACACTTACGCAGAACTCACTGTGTGCCAGGCTCCAGTCTAAGCACTTTGGTGTATGATCCTCATAAAGTATATAATCCTCATCAAGACCCTGTGAAGGGAACACTTATTACCCCCACTTTACAGATGGAAAAATCAGAGGTTAGGAAGCTGCCTGCAGTCACACAGCTAATGAGTGGCAGGTCCTCGACTGACTGACTGATTTGTCTTTTTTTCCCTCTTCTTTCTTTTGTTGGCCCATCCTTGATTTAAGAGCAAGGCCTTCTGAGGCCATTTGGCTACAGAAGACCATGTTCTTATCTACCTTGTTAAGCTGCCTTAGGTGGACAGAATTTTCTAGCTGTGAAGTTCCTATCTTTCTTTGTCTTGCCAGTATGACTATGGAAACTATATCTCATGGCAACACACAAAGTCAAAGTTAGTCGACTTCACCAGAGGAAGGCAATGTTAAAGAGACCTACCTCACTAGATGGCTGAACAAACTATATTATGACAATTTTGGAGAAGACCCAATGCACAGAATTAAATATTTGAAGTCTAAGGAGGTCTGCTGTTATCCATTTCCTTATTCCTTCTTTAAGAGCAGAAAGGTTACCTGGGAGTCATGCCCTAGTGAAAGGCAGTTGTGAGAATAAGCTACGGGCAAGAACACAACAGGGAATCAAGTTTAATATCACTTTCACCATGCCCAGTTTGCAGTTGTTAGTGATCAGAATTCCCAAACTGCCTTCAGTGTTTCGAACATTTCATTTATAGAGCTCAAGTAATATTATTACTGTGCCTCTTAGAAGGTTAAATATGATAATAAGGCAGTAGTCTCATCTTCCCACTGAAGAGAAGGGAGTCTAGGTTCTAAGTAACAGACCCAGGGCACTGCCCTCTTAGCTAATTTTATAGCCAATGCATCTTTTCCATACGACACTTGGGAATGCTGATATCTGAACAGGCGCCAAGCAGATCTGCACAAATGAGCCGGTGAGACTCCACCCTTACTCTGGCTTGATTTCGGACTGGTGCCTCACGGCGCTGTATCGGATGGCAATGGTGCAGGCCTTTGCCAGGCTCCGGGCAGCTTCTCCCACAAGGAAGGATCTGATAAACACCATGGTCCCGTAGGTTAGCTTGTTACTCACGGGTTTCACGTATGTGCCATCAGGTTTCACCTGGAAAAAGAACATGGGACTGATGCTTCCTTCTGTTAAACCCAAGAGGCAGCTTAGGCCCATGGTTCTCAAAGTGTGGTCCTCACAGCGGCAGCATTGGCATTACCCGGGAACTTGTTTGAAATATAGTATCTCGGTCCCCACCCTGACTTATTACATCAGGAACTCTGGGGGCCATGCAATCTGGGTTTTAGCCAGCCCTCCAGGTGATTCTAACATCCTAAAGGTTGAGACCCATGGTTTAGCAAACTAGAATATGCTCTTCATACCTGCCAACAGCTTTCGATTTCACTGTCATAATAGAAGACACACAGAGTAAAGCTCAGTTATTACCTTCTAGAAGAACTGACCCTTCTAATTCCAACCCTGAGGTTATCAACAGCCACTGCACCCCCATGTCTGACACCGCTGATCCTATTTCCTGTCTAAATATACCTGGGCGTACTTCATTAGCATGTTTTCTCTGGGAATGCGATAATTGTCCATCTTCAGGTAGCCATTATCCATCTCGTCATAGCCAAATTTGGGGCCAATGTCGCCCACGGTAATACCTACCACAGAGGAAAGGTAAGTCACCAGATGTTTACGCCCTGCATTCCCAGCTTTCTCCCACTCCTCTTTAGTTGTGTATTATACTTTTTGCAGAAGAAAGTGCTCAGTTTAAGTTTTCATCTCAATATCAGAAGAATAATTCTAACCTGGCAAAGGCTTATGGGTTCCAATTTCGCGAAGAGGTACTATGAAGGCATGTAATCCATAGCATTTCCCCTTCGTGTAGAGCTGGGCAAGTACTATCGCATGATTTGAAGTCTTTCCAACTGCAACATCAACGAGAACAAGAGGGGAGTGAACCACCCTTCTTACATTTTTCGAAAGACAGAAACAAAAGAGGGGGAAAAGCCTATGTTAACTGTAGCACTAGACTCTATCAATGAAGTCTGCCCAGACAGCCTGCTGAGGACAGGGCCACAGCTGGCTTACAGGAGGACAGCTACATAAGCTGACAGTAACTAAGAGTTACTGAATCCTGGCAAAGCAAACCTTCACTTTATTTTTACATGTATATAAAAACTTTTTACTGAGATATAATTGACATATAATATTGTGTGAATTTAAGGTACAACATATTGATTTGATAGCAAGCCATCATTTTAAAAGACAGCTTTACTCTTCTACTTACTTTTGACTCATTTATACATAAAGAAAATTACAAGATGGGCCGGCCGAGTGGCGCAATGGTTAAGAACTGGCTTGGGACGCCAGTGGGCCCCGGTTCGGATCCCACATATGAGGGCCAGTGACACTGCCCTCTACAGCTAAGATGCTGAACAACAGCTCAACCTGGAGCTGGGCAGCTGTG